AGCCCCTGGAACAACTCCAGTGGGGCAGAACCCAGGGGAAAATACCTAACCAACTGCTCTTCTAATTGGACAATATTTGTTAAATATGCTAACTTGTTAAACTTACAAAAATTGTAGAAATCCAGTGCCAGGTGTGCCCATGACCATGGGAGTTTTGACTATTTTAAGAGTTTAAGTTTTTAAGGGAAGTTGTGACATGAAGTTCTTGGTCAGCTGCCGGGGATGTGAGCTGCTGGCCTCTTCCCATTGTCATATCCATAGAATGATACTGGTGCTGGAAAATAAACAGCTCGAGCCGCGTTGCTCAGCAGTCCCGTCCCGTCTGTGAGTTGTACATTGTCCCCCAGCCGGCCATAGGATGCCAGTGGGAGTCCCTACCTGGGAGCTGGTGGAGCAGGAACTGGCCTCAGGGCTGGGTCCTCCTTTCCAGCATCATGGGAGCGCAGCAGCCTCTGGGACTCCTCACTGTATTGGCCCACAGTGAAATTGGCAGTGCCATCAACCAGCTGTTCTGTGTATTCCTCCGGGAGAGGCTGCAGCATCTGGAGCATCACCTCCCCATTGTCATGGATCAAGTGGAAGCTTCAGGCAAATCTGCCTAAAATCCAGATTTTTTTGCAACAGCTTAAATTTGGGTCACCCACACCTAAAATCAATCTAGCCTGCAAGTTCTAAGCATGGCAGATCAGGTCTATTTATAAAATTAGTTATTTATCGAACAGAGAGCAGATAACCAAGGCCTTAGTCAGAGTTACTACATGGTATAAACCAAAAAGTACATCTAGTAGACTACATAAAACAGTGCACAATATTATTGTACCTATATTAAAGTTAGCAAAATAAATTGTATTGATTAAGAGTCAGATATAATTTATCACTGCAATTATGATAGTGTACACTAAATCCTTTCACTCATCCTCAGAGGAGTAGCCATAAATCAACTGTCCCTGCTTTGGGGAAAAATTCCATACATTTCCAGGGAATGTGCAGAAGATTTCCTGCTTTGTGAAAACTTGGTATACCTTTCACAGTTTGTAAGGTGGGTTGTCCATCAGACAAAAATTCCAGCTTATCTTTCCAGATGTCACTTCCAGGGCAAGATATTTGTTATCAGCTGGGAGTGCTACTCCCATAGTGTGAAAGTAATTCACTACAAGACAGCTTGTCATATTTGCATTTTTTCATCAATTAACACAAAAGAGAGAAGTTCTGGGTCAAGGTGCTCTGTTATTCCACCAGCTAAAAGCAACAGATAAGTTCCTCTGGGGCGAGGTGCCCTGCTACACCCATCTGGACAGGGCGGGCAGGGCATACAAGACTGCTCTCACTGCCAGCCACCACGAGGATGCTACAGACCGCTGCTTAGCTGGGGAACGTGTCCCTCTCCCCAAAGAAGACTAAGGAACAGCTGTAAGGCACTGGCAGCTGTTTCCATCCAGGAGGCCAAGAGCTCCTTCTGCCTGGATCCAGTCCTGCATCCAACCTGACTGCTGCTCCCTGGTGATTCTCCCTGAGGTGTGATGATACACTCCAGGTATTTTTGTTCCTGCACAGAAAACCTGACAGACTCCATCAATCTTCTGCAGAGTGGGCACTCTGGTTTCTTCTCTGCCCAACGCAGGATGCAGCCCCTGTAGAACTCGTGGCCACAGCCTATCACATGAGTGACACCCTCTTGCTCATCATGACAAATGGGGCACTCTGATGTCCCCATGGCTTTATCTGTTCTCCATGGCAATTCAGGGAATACTGATGGGCTGCTCCCCATCACTGGCAGTACCACAGAATCTCACACAGTGCAATGAAGTGGAGAAATCCTGCTCCCTTGATGTCCCAAGGAGGATTTGAAGAAATACCCAAGCCCCTGGAGAAGGATACCCTCCTGACTCCTCAAGCCCTAGTGCCCTTCTCACTACCACCCTGGAGAGACTCAGCACTCCAGATCTTACAGGCATGCTCGACAGGCTGTGTCTTTTCTGAGAGCCTGGGAAGATGGTCTCTGGCAGCTGAAAATATGTAGGGTTGAGACACCTGTCTGTCACAAATGGATAATGGGAATTAAGTGGTTCAATACCCTTGAGGTCCTGGATTTTAAATTAAATCTAAGGGCTGGAGACTGGATTTTTCCTTTCTTTCTATCTTCTTTAAGTTCACTCTTGAATGAGCAAATGTGATTAATTGAATGCAGTTTTTATAATGGGGTGGTTTTCTTTTTACAAAGTAAACACTGTGGACCAAAATCCAATATGGCCTTAGCAGATGCTGGTCAAGCATCACCTGTGCAGGTGGTCTCTAGTGAAGACTAGATGAAGGCTTTGCTTCCTGCTGACAGGTCTCAGGGGCTCTGAGAACCTGTGCACCCTTGATGACCAGAGCTGCATAAAATATTGTAGGAGACTTGAAGAGCACAATTGCCTTAACCACCAACCACAGAATCATAGAATCAGCTAGACTAAAAAAATAAAAAAACTCTGAGATCATTGAGTCCAACCTATGACCAAAGATCACCTTGTCAAGCAGACCACAGCACTAAGAGCTATGTCCAGTCTTTCCTTAAACACCTCCAGGGACAGTGACTCCACCACCCTCCCTGGGAAGTCTTTTCCAATGCCCAAAATCACCATTTCTGTGAAGAATTTTTCCTAGTGTCTAACCTAAACCTCCCCAGTACAGCTTAAAACTTTGTCCTCTTCTATTGCTGGTTGCCTGAGGAAAGAGACCGACCACCACCTGCCTACACCCTCCTTTCAGGGAACTGATATAAGTTGATAAGGTCACCCCTGAGCCTTCTCTTCTCCAGGCTAAACAACCCCAGCTCCCTCAGCCACTCCTCATAGCCCCTTGTGACCCAGACCATTCACCATCCTTGTTGCCCTCCTCTGGACACTTTTCAGCATCTCAACATCCTTCCCAAACTGAGGGACTCAGAACTGGACACAGCACTCAAGGTGTGGCCTCACCAGTGCTGGGTGCAGGGGAGAATCACTGCCCTGGTCCTGCTGGCCACACTGTTCCTGATACAGGCCAGGGGCCATTTGCCTTCTTGGCCCCCAGGGCACTGCTGGCTCATGTTCAATCATCTGTTGACCAGCAACCCCAGGTCCCTTTCTGCCTGGCCACTGTCCAGCCACTCTGTCCCCAGCCTATGTTGCTGCAGGGGCTTGTTGTGACTAAAGTCTAGGACCTGGCACTTAGACTTGTTAAACCTCATATTGATAAGTGGGATTCAGCCCACCTATCCAGCCTGTCCAGAGCCCTCTGCAGAGCCCTCTTACCCTCTAACAGATCAATGCTTTCATCCAATTTGGTGTCACCTCAAATTTGCTAATGGTGGACTCAGTTCCGTCATCCAGACTATTAATAAAGGTATTCAGCAGGACTGGCCCCAGCACAGACTCCTGAGGGACACCACTGGTGACTGCCCACCAAGTGGATGTGACACAATTCACCTCCACTCTCTGGGTCTGGCCCTGCAGCCAGTTCCTAACGCAGCAGAGTGCTCCTGTCCAAGCCATGGGCTGCAGCTTTTCCAGGAGAATCCTACGGGGAGATGGTGTCAAAGGCATTGCTGAAGGCCAGGCAGACAACATCCACAGCCTTCCCCTCATCCATCAGGTGGGTTACCTGGTTATAAGGAGATCAGGTTGTTCAGGCAGGACCTGCCCCTCCTAAATCCATGCTGGCTGGGTCTGATCCCTCAGCTGTCCTGTAGGTGCTGCGTCACCACACTCAAGATGATCTGTGCCATAGCCATACTATGCACCAAGGTCAGGCTGAGAGGCCTGGAGTTTCCTGTATGTTCCTTATGGCCCTTCTTATGGATGCGCATCACATTGGCCAACCCAGTCATCTGGCACCTCCCTGGTTACTCAGAACTGATGGTAAATGATGGAAAGCACTTGTCAAGGTCTTCTGCCATCTCCCTCATCAACCTAGGGTGGATCCTGTGTGGTCTCATAGACTTGTGAGCATCTAAGTGGCTCAGCAGGTCACTAACTGCTCCCTCCTGGATGACAGGGGAGGCTATTCTGCTCCCTGTCCCCATCTTCCAGCTCAGGAGGCCAGTTGTCCTGAGGACAACCTGTCTTCTTGTTGAAAACTGAAGCGAAGAAGATGTTAGGTACCTCAGCCTTTTCCTCATATCCGGTAACTATATTACCCCCTTGTCCAATAAAGAGTGGAGGTTCTCCTTGGCCCTCCAAGATGTGTTAACTTCACCAAAGGACTTTGCCCACCATGGCAAACTCTCCAAAGAAGCAGCTGCTCATCTGTGATGACTGAAGCTCCCTGTCCCTGAACATGCCTCTGAGAAACTTGGAAAGAGTTAACCCACTTGAGAAGAGTGTGAGTTAAGACTGTCTGGATTTTATCTCAGACTAGTGGGAGGAAAACAGATAGTGGAAGAGAACTGATACTGGGCAGAAAGAATCCACACAGAAAGCCAACCCAGCAACTGTGCTGAGAATCAACTCTTGAGTGTAGCCAATGAGCATTAATTCCTTTGTTTGCTAAAATGTATAAAGAGTGAAAAGTTTTGAACACCCTGGGAACCACATCAGCAAGAAGACCAGGGTGAAGAAAAACGCAACATGATGCTTTCTGGATCCAAGTGTGGTGATAGCTTTTTACTTAAATTGTCTCACTCTTTCTCTCATTCTGGCCCTCCTCTCTTTCCTGTTTTGTCTATCTCTCTACTTCACGTTGACTGTTAAATAAAATCCATACTATTGGCTTTGGCACATGGTATTGTCGGCATCTTAATTCAGGTAGAAGCGTCTGTCAGTAATTGGATCAAAACAGATGTGCTGACACTACAGACTGCTGCTGTGAGAGGGCGAGATGTGCAGCTGATCCTTGGCCCAGGGATTGGCACTGGATAAGGCACTTATCTTCCCTGGAGTGTTTGTGCATTGGTGTTACATCCACCCCTATGTGGAAGGGAGCAAACAAGATTTGTAGATGTTCACAGATGAAAAAGAATGGCAAAAACCAAAAGGGTCCAAAAAAACCTCACCAATTTTTATTAACAAACTACACACTCAGCATGGCAATTGGTATGTGTTTTGCCACTATCTTCTAATAGTAAGAGGAAAAAAAAAGAATAAAAGAATAGAGGGAAGAAGAAGGGGAAAAGAAATCAGGTAGGAGAGGAAAGAAGTTCATGGTCCTGGGTCCAGCATTGATCCACCCAACAGGTGTTCAGGGTCCTGAGAGAAGGCCACCCTTCTGGTACATTTTTATAGGTAAGTTTTCCCCATTTGGAGATTAGGTTCCTCACTCTTCATACAAATGAGTTAGCATGTGCAGCCCAGAATTCTGGATCTTTCTGGAAATGGGCTGGGGGGCTTTGTGGGTTTTGGTGGTCTTGATTCTCCCTCTATTGGTCTTGCTTGGTCCTTGACCCCACTCCTGCACTTAAATTGTCCTTTATGTTGTGTGGTCACCATGGACTGGAACAGGAAATTCAGCTCCAGAATGGTGCTGCCTTACCTTCATATGGCTCCCCTTTCCAGGCACATCCTGTTATAACTAGCCTGCTTGATGGCTGTTGGTGTTTAGGGCATAGCAATGTGTTACTTCTTTACTGCCTAGGTTTCTACATTGGTCAAAAAGCCCAGCTACCATCTGATAGGGAAAAAAAATCATCCTTAGTGCAGAGAAGGGTTTCACATTCTTAATGACAGGGCAACATCTGCACCCATTTTTTCCCTTTCTCTCGTTTTCCTAGTGTTGTGTTTCTTGCACTTGTTGTTGCAGACTTAAGGTGCCGGATGCTACTTTTCCACTGTAGATATATTAATATCTGTAGGGAAGGCATTGAACTGTACAGAAAGGAGAGTGAAGCCAAGTTCTTCCTAGATGAGGGTGAAGGGTTCCCTGAGTTAAAGGCTGCTTGGGCAGTGATCAAGCCAGTAGGATTTTATAAAATTTGGATGGAGAGTATTCTCAGAGTAGAAAATACAGGTCTTTTTTTTTTTTTTTTTTTTTTTTGCTTGCAATTTAAAATTTAATTCAGTTTAATGAAATTTCAATTAATGTAACTCAGAAGGAAAGGGTTGTAGCCCATTATAGTGTGAACTGCAGGTGGTCCATTCTGCAGTTCATAACATCTTTTCCTTTAGGTACCGCAAGATATCCTTCAGCAGATCAAAGAATTGCTGCAGCTTTTCACGTGGAAATGGACAGGGTTGTGTTGGTTTTGGAGTTACTGTCTGCAGGGGGGCTGCGGTGTAGGTTGGCAGCGGTGCTGGCGCTGGAGCAACTGCTGGTGCTGGCTTTCTTCCCATTGTGCTCCAGATCCAGTTGTAGTAGTACTGAGTGGAGCTGGAGACTGCAGGCCGTTTAGGTCTGGCACAGCCTACTCCCCAGCTGGTCACGCCAATTTGCCAGAAGAAGCCAGCATGCCTATCTTGGCAGACAAGAGGCCCGCCGCTGTCACCCTGCAGCAGAGCAGAGAGGATTAAGGTGCTTTTGCATGCCCCTGTCAGCAGTTAGTTGGCTCCTTTACCCTCCCAGCCCCTGCCAGAATGGGATTCCTGGCAGAGCAAGGCTCTGCTCAAATGCTGGGACCTGCAGAACCTTGACACCCAACCCTTGGGAGCAGGCTGGGTGCCTGTAAGGTGAGACTCTCTGTCTCCCCTGTGCATGGATGTTTCAGGGCTGTGAGCAAGTACCCGCAGATCGGAAGGGGGGAGGAAGCTCCAGTGGTGGTGCAGAGCTGGGGCTTCGAGAGAAATGGACCAGGGAAAGCAGGCGCTGGGCTGTGCTGGGGTGGTGTGATGGGGCTGCCCACACTGCTGGGGGACTCATAGCATGCTCCTACCTGGCAGGTGCCAACACCGCCTTGCCCAGCACACACGTGGAAGTCGTAGATGTACCCCTGCAGCCAGTCGCTGCTGTTGCAGAGTTGTTTATCCACCACTTGGACCTTGGCCTGCTGCAGGACATCTCTTCCCGATGCTGTGAACAGGGAAAGGAATGAGATCCCAGCAACTCCTTGCCTATTCTTCTGGCCTGTTTTTGTGTTGAAGTCCTTCCCTAGGGCTTAGTTCTGCCTCTAGAGAGCTGTTGGATTGCTGTGTCACTGCTGTCTGCACTGGGCAGCAGCCCAGGCCCATCTCTCCAGAGGCATTTGTCCCACAGCCCAACTTTCATTTTGGCCTCTGCTCTCAGGGAGCCCCAGCCTTCCCTCCCTTGTGTGCCAGCCTTGCCCTCAAGGCACAGATCCTTTGTGGGAACTTACATTTGACAATTCTGTCACCCCAGCCAGCAATGTAACAGTTTTTCAGGTCCGACACTTTCACCGAAGGACCAGGCAGGCAGGCAGTCTGGATAGAAGACCTGCACCGGACTGGACGGTCCAATTCCAGCAAGGCGACGTCATTATACTCAAGTTGAGGAGTGTATTTTTCATGAATGACCAGACGCTTAATCCGGCGCACTTCCACATCAGGGCCTGACTGGCCCAAGGAGGTGGCCCCAAGCACAATGGCCCACTCGCTGAGGGGGCTGCAAGGCAGGTGGAGAGAGGGGTGAGAGGGGGTAGAATCATGTGCTGTGACAGACCAACACTTCCCTGCCTTCTGCTTCCTGAGGCCGAGAGGAAAACAGGACTACAGAGAGTGAAAGTAGACTCAAGATATGTTAAGCTGGAGGCTGCTCGGAAGCAGTGGCAGGAGCCCACTCTTCTCCCTGAGCAGTCTCTCAGCTAGGCCCTGCAAGGCACTAGGCACACTGCAAGGAAGTGGGATGGGAATAGCATGCGCTGGTGGTATGGGGATATCCCTGTAGCTAGGTTGTCCTTACTTGGTGCGGTTGACAAAGCAGTGGGCAGCTGTGAGGAGCCACTGTGCGCCGACGAGGGTCCCTCCGCAGACGTGCACAGATACCGGCGGGTTCCAGTAGCAACGGACGCTGGCAATGCCTGCCCAGGCTCCAGTCCCCGGCATGACGTCTGTGCCGCCCACGACGCGTGTTGAGCCCACGGTAGTACCCATGGGCCGGAGCCCACAGGTCTGCCTGTAAGCAGAAAGTCATTTCTGTCCTGTGAGAAGGCTCCCACCAGACTTCGGTTGCAAAGCCAGCAGGGCCAGGGAACTGCCTGGGGTGTGCTCATGTCGGCCTGCGTGAGCCCCACAAACAAGTGGTGCCAGACATCTGGGTGCTGGTGATAAACTGAGGCTCCTGCCCAGGAAACTGGTATGGCCACAGGTGGCAAGTGGGCATCCTCAGGGAACCCCCTAAGCCTTTGCCTGGGTCCCCTCAGGTCAAGCCTGTGGCTACTTACCCACAGGTGCCTTGTGCAGGCCTGCACAGGGCCAGAAGGATGAGGATGCACAGCAAAATCATTGTGGTCGAAGACACGAGTCAGCTGCAAGGAGAGAGAGCTTGTCACTCCAGTGCAGCTGCCAACGCAGTGCCCACAGAATCTGCACTGCCACAGTGCCCTTGGCCCTGGAGCTGATGTCACAGAGGGACTGGTTCCATGTTCTGGGCACGGTGCTGACCACTGGAGGCTGGGGAGAAGGGCAACGTAGAGCCACAGAACCACAGAAAGGTCTGGATTGGAAACTACCTCAAGGATTGACTAGTTTCAAACCCCAGCCATGCACATGGATGCCTTCCACTACAAAGTTGCTCAGAGTGCCATCCAAGCTGGCCTCAAATGTTTAACAGGATGGGGCAGCTTCTCTGCGCAGGCAACCTGTGCCAGTACTTTGACAATGATACAAGATTTTACTTGGCATCCAAAAATCCTACAGAATTTGCAGCAACATTAAAAGCAACACACATTCTGATTTTTAAAAATAATTTGTGGAATTTTCACTTCCTTTGCTTGAGACAGAAAAATCAACTGAACAAATGTAACTCAAGGCCTTAAGGAAAAAAAAAAAAGTCTCAATGCCTAAGCATTTGGTATTGTTTAGAAACTAAAAAGAATTCTAATTAAAAGTCAATTTCCTTCAAGAAGCCAGAGCCACTTTCCAGTTGAACATGTTTATTTAGTTGTTTCCATTGGACTGCTAAACAGCTTACCCCTATTTTGAGAGGTACAGCAGAGGCTATGCACTGGACTGCCATTTCAGTTACTGCCAATAAGTTCCTCTCTTTGATTACCAAATTCCATTTTCTTAGCTTTGCTTTGATGAAGTTCAGGGAGGACCAGTGAGATGGAAGGTTCCTGCCCAGATACCCAGAGTCCAGTTTCAAGTTCCCTAGTGTGCTGTACAGCACATACACAGAAGGATCACGTCAAAAGTCTAAGACACTGCATTTCCAGCTGCTGTCCCCAAGAGCTGGAAGCCCCTAGGACCCGCGTTCCCTTATTCCACTACATCCTTGCTCTCCTCTCTGAGTGGGCAGTTCCAGCCCTTTGGAGGGACCCTTTCCCTTTGGGCTTGACTTGTCTACCCACAGCTGCATTTTGCAAATGCCAGCTCAGGGAGGCCTTGGCTCACATAGCAGAATGCACACATTACAATCTTTGAAACTAGGCCACTTTATTTCTATAGCAGCTAAGTCACCATCAGCCATTGTGTACATGTGGAGGAGGAGTGTGGGCAGGACAGAGTGGACCTTTGGCACTGAGGCTACCTTTGGATCAGCAGGCACTGCCCCGGGAGGAGAGGGCTGTGCTCCACTGCAGCCTGAACTGCATCCAGTCAATCCCTCCCTAGAATGCCTTAGGGTCCAGGCTGCCCGTCTTCAAGCTGCAGTTTGACTTGAGCATGAGATGAAGCTGGGTTTTTGTTTCTTTGGACTCAGTAAATCTGGTAATCCCCCTCCCCTGCCTTGGTTACAGGGGAAAAGAGAAAGAAAAAATATTTATTTCAGTTTGTTGCTGTGGTTCTTTGGCTTTTAAGGCAGAAATGCTTTTCATGCCATGCCAGCAGTGGTATTTCAGGTGAAGTGGGCATGAACTTGTGGTCTTTGGCTTTTGCAAAAGGAAAAGGAGAAAAATAGGAAAAAAAATAGTGAAAAAGAGAAAAAAAATTTTAAAAGGAGAAAAAAAAAATTACAAAAATAAAAATAAAAATAAAAATAAAAATAAAAATAAAAATAAAAATAAAAATAAAAATAAAAATAAAAATAAAAATAAAAATAGGATAAAGGTTTTCCCTGGAAAGTGTGTTTGCACCAAGGGAAGCCTGAATCTCATGTAGCAGAATTTCAAAAGTTTCACCCTCCCAGGTTCTTGAGGGCCTTTGTTGTTGATGGCCACATCCCATGGCCAAGTGTTATCTAAAGCCTGCAGGTGTGTGCCCTTTGAACATTGAAAGTTGCTGTGGTCAAAACGACTGGTTTTTGGTTTTGCTTTGTTTTTATATTTCCCCCAGTTTGGAAACTCCCTCTCCCCCCTGCTCCTCCTTTTTTTTTTTCCCCTTAGGAACAGGGCAGGAAATTTCTATTTGGTCTGACACTCTCAGGCTCTCCTGTAATAAATACTTTCAGACCCCTACTGCACACAATATAGGTGATACTCTAGGCTGTTTTATATGGGTATGGGAAAAACTACAAGTCTGTGTTTTTGGAGGAGAAGCCATGCTGGGGTCTGAAGATTATGGACTTGCACAGAAACAGAGGTGGGTGATGCCTGGGAGGACATAAGAGAGCTGTACACACCCAGCCCCAGCTTGTACCTTCCCCCTGCTGTACGGATGAAGAGGCAGCAACTAAGTGGGGAATGATGAGCAATGCTGTCAATATTCAGTATGAGATGCTGGAAGGGGGGTGTCTCCTGAGATCCTGGTAGAAAGGCCACCACAGTGTGGGTTTGTCCATTGCACACAGTCCCTACGTCTGCTGCACAGTGTTACAGCATGTGCAGCAAAATGTGCCGTGACACTACATGAACACAGTTATTTCCACAGGCTTTTAAAAATTTTACAGCTTTTAAACCAAGGGGAAAGCCTCCCCAGCTCTGGTGTGAGCCTTCACCACAGGGCTGGATACTTTGATTTCTCACAGAGGCTCTCCTAACTTGGAGAGGTCAGAAGAATGATGTGATGGCTGCAGACATTGGTCTGTGATTTTCTTTTTTTTGTTCTTCAGTTCATTATCATGGGGCTGATTTGATCTTGTCACCTTGTGCCATCCAAATATTTAAAAAAAAACCTGCTGAGCCATGAACAAATCTGAGTTGTTCAGCCAAGCTGAAATTTGAGAAGAGGTTTCATAATTTCAGGAACACTTGTTGCCAGCAGTAGTTGGAAAGCTGGAGCAAAATTAACTTTGAACAAAGGACAGGAGTGCACCATTAAGGGATACAGTGGAAATGAAATTGAGAGAAGGTGGTATTTCCTCCTTGGATGGATCCACTGATTTAATTGTGGTTTCTGCATCAGCTGGCTCCCCAGTATCAAGAGCAGATGCCACTTTTTTGCAGACCTCTGAATCCTGTGCAATCCAGATACCACTGGTCAGGCACAGCCACTGCATGTCTGGAAGCATCAGAAAAATGAGGCCTTTGCCCTGACAGAGCAGGACTACTACTGCAACAATCCACATCACTCACCAACCTCCTTGGGCCTATGTGGGCACTATGTGAGGTCTTCTGCAGGCAGGTTCATATGGCTAGTTGTTCTTCTGAGGGAAAGTGCTATTGTTTAGGAAGATGACCTTTTTCCATACATTCTGTTTTAAATTTAGGGCAGTTTAAGTGTGTAATTTAGTAAACACATCTTCCTGCCTTTAAAAATGGAAGTGTGGGGGAAGAAAGCATTCTATCCTTATGCAGAGGTGAAACAGATGTTTCTCCTCCATGGCTCTGGGCAAGCCTGCACAGACCTTGGGGTAAGGGCCTAGCCCAATAATTATGGCTGAACTGGTGCACATCTGACGCCCACTTTGAATGTGAGCATAATAGCCACAGTAAAAGGACGGAGCTTTTTTCTTCTATCCCCAGACACTCCTTTCCAGTGGGTACAGTTCATCCTCAGGACCAAGTAGGATGAGCAGCACATCCCTCATGACTTGTTCTCTGAGCTGGATGAGAGCTGTATGAGAGAGGCTGAAGATGCTGAGTGGGAAGAAATGGCAAGGTAAATCCCTGCTGCCAGCTGTGATGGGAGAGAAGTGCCCACACTGGCAGTACCCTCAGGCTCTGCCTTCTACTGCTCTCTGGAACACTTTCTGCAGCTGCAGGTGCTGATGTGAGCAGCCTTCTCCTCTTGCCACCACAGAAATTTATCAATGGAGTTGGAGACCAGGAGCTGAAGAGGTAGAAGACAGTATCAAGTGCAGGATCACGCCCTGTGTGGCCACTCTGTCCTTGCACAGCCTCTGAGATGAGGAGCTGCACCACCAATGAAAGGATGCTGCTGGACAATTGTGCCAGCAGCATCAAAGAACTGAAGGTAATGTGGGAGTCACATCCCTCTCGGAGTGGCCAAGCTTGGTTTGCCCTGCCCCTATGATGCATCCTTTTTCAGAAGTCCTGCTGTATCTTTAAATTCTGTAGTCATCCCTCTACCATTGCTAAGGCTGGCTCATTAAGTGAATTCCTAAGACGTGTAAGGAAACATCTGTTTGCTACCCTTCAGCCTCTTAAGTCTGCTTTTGTACAGCTCCTAATACTTGGTGTCCTACACGTGGTAGTCTCACTTACTAAGTACTACCTAGTTATACTAAGAATTCCATAATCCTGCATTACGTGGCTGAGCTTGAACAGTTCAAGTTTTTGTCCTGCACATATGGCTAAGCTTAACTAGCCATACTCACACTAGTCTAACCAGAACCCAGCTAATGGGACATCCAACCCTCTCTGGCTCTCACCAGAGTTGCAGTCCTCACCTTCCCTTGGAGGCTTTTTCACAGCCCTAACACTGGGTTCCTGCTTTTTGTTTTGCACTGATACCTCACCCTTTTCCTGACCCTCACCCTAAGCCCATGTCCACCCTGTCCTAAGCCCATGTCCAACATGAACTTTGCCAGCAAAGGCAGTCTGCCTTGCACCACCTCTTAGACATTTCAGTCTTCATCTATTCCCAATACACTCAAAAAAAAGAGAATTATATTTAAGCATTTCTCATGGGAGGAGGAATTGACTCTAGTACAACGTATTAATAGGGTTTTAAAACCTCTAAAACTGACATAACAAAAGTATGCATATGCAACAAATGGTAAAATGAAAAAAACCTCCCCAACTTTCCAGATTTTCTTGGTACACTTTCCTGTCTAAAACTCAGCTCCATGTTATTGCTTCATAGTTGTCATTAAAACATTTTAATAGAATAGTGAATTTTTTTTAAATTACAGAGCAGAAATGAAAATGCAGATGGGATCCTCTTCTGCAGTTTTGATTTTAAAGACTTAATACTGTGATCGGGAATAAAATAAAACATATGTGAGGGGACAACAGAGATAGAAAAGTGGAAGTTTACTATATTGACTTCTAATTTAATTTAAGAAGTGACTAGGAAGAAAAAGATGGCAGATACATATATACACACATTCACACGCACACACACCACACACACACACATATATATATATATATAAATATTCAAAGATGGAAATACTATTTCTGTAAAATTTGAAAGATTTAAAATAAAGGAGGAATCAAAGTAATAACACATGACAGTATAAAAACTCCAAGAATATACTTAATTCTTATTCCATAATTTTCTAAATCTGCTTGCATGAATCCACAGAAGATACATTGGTAGCAAAACGAAAAGATAAAAAAGTATGTTTACTCTTGCATGTCTTGTATATATATATATACTAGAACTCCAAAATGGCTTTTTTCACCACTTCTGAAAGACACAGACTGCACTGCAGGTATCGCATCTTTATAGTGTTGCACATTAGTGTTTGAGTTTCTATTCTTCAACAGATTTTGAGGATCTGTCTCACAAGATTTTTTACAATAGTAGTAAAACAAATAATTAAAATGTAAATTAGA